GTTAGCATCTCAATAACATTTCTGGCACCTGGTTCCACCTCCAACTCCGCTTCTGCCATAACGCGTATTTTGTCTATTGTCAACCTTGGACGATTAAAAAGCGCTGTTTCCCTGTTATGTTCCATTGAGTGGATCCTTTCTATGTGCACCCCCCCCCAACTCAGAACCGGAACCTCTTACAACAGATCGGACATTCATAAAAAGTTCCATCTAGGATGGCATCACTCTCCCGTTAGACTGTGCAATACCATTTTTTGGCGTACACTGTTCTACAATCGCTTCCTTAGACATGATATTACCACCCTAACTACTACTCCGGGGCTGATGTCTGCTGAGTTCATATATACGATTTAAACATTCCGATGTTCTCCCTCTTCATTATCACAATCAAAACAGGCACTCCTCATAGTACTAAACACATTCCTACATTTACTGCATAGCCATCTAACAACCCAGAAGCAGTGAGCTTCTTCAACATGATGTCGCTGGGCGACGTAAGTGAGAAACGCCCTACCATCTCACATACGGGAACTCTCTTCTAGGATAGACCAGGTTAAACCGAAAACAAGTCGCTCTTCCCTCACTACTCCAAATATAGGGCCGGGATTCAGGTCCCAAAACCTTTCTTCTTTCTTTACGTTTCATCGCGAATAATATAGCGCGGACCCCGGATTGCAAACCCTGAAAATCCGTTAATACTAACCTTCTCAGAGGTAAGCCCTTAGTTACATCTCACGATAACCCAGCGACGCCACAAGGAAGAGTCCCACCCGGTATCCACAGTACCTCCATCACCCATTGACAACGAACAAAACAATCAAGACAATCAATACAAAATCGATCCGTCACCCAGTAGATACGGAATAGTTCAATATGTTAATCCGTAGCAGCTTTCGAGATGCTCACAGTCATACCTGCCAGGCCGCAATGGTATCTTCAATTTTCATTCCGTAGTGGCTTTCGAAATGATTACGGTCATATCTGCGCCAAAGCAACCGCAGTTTTCAACCCATTATTCGAAGCGTCTTTTGAGATGCCTCGTATAACAGGCATGCCTTTCACAACTGAATCGTCCCACCAGTTTTCAATCAGTCGATCCGTAGCGGCTATCAATATGTCTCATATACTTACAGGCAACTTTTTCCGGGGCGCCATGGCACACTCTTTCGATTCGTCAGTTAGTAACAGCGTTCAAGGTGTTTCACATTATTCGTCTCGTCTCATGTCCATGGGTACTGTGGGTGGAGCACAACGGCTTAAGTGAGACACAGTGATTCCGCCCACGTTGTCGTACTTCACTGACACAGAGCTACACATTCAAGCATAACATAATATGGGCTCAGTCATGCAGTTGATGTGGCTCACTACTGTCTAGTTGATGCGGTGACCGGACTGAGCGCTGGAGATGAGATGAGTAGCCTATAAATGCAGACCGATAAAACGTTCCGTTCAGGATAACTTTCACCCATAAAATTTAAGGAATCATTGAGTTTTAATATATGGCGGAGGATGAAGTCTAGAAACTCCAGATATAACTCCGATTATTTGCTCATTGTCATGCTTTTCTATCTATAAAATAATTACTGGTATTTTGCCTATAATACGTGCTATTTTTGAGAGAGTAGGCAAAACTAAAAATACGCTATCTCGTGTGAAGACGAAATTCACAGGCATAAATTTTACTTATTTATGAACGACCGTCACGGGAATTAATAAACGTCACTTAATTTGAGAAATCTGTCGTCTTCCTAAATGGCAGTCATGAAGTTTATTTCCATCGCACTGCCTTTCTTTCACATTTTAGCTCAAAACACAATGACTGGGCGGATAGCAAGTACGTATTCAGTCGAATTTAATGCTGATGCACTCGGCTGCTTGAACAGAGGGAAAATTATTCAGTTGCTTGAAAAAATTTCCTCCTACTCTAAGAATGACGTTGTGAAAAGTTTCTTCCCAACTTAAAAACGTTCCATGTGCTATAAAATTTTACGTCACTCATGACTTACTGCAGTGAGGCTCATCTGCAAACATAAAATCACAATTTTAGGTACCTCTGTACCTCAGATAATAGACTGAAAAGTATACACGGAACAGTCGGTCAACAAGAGTTTTAGAAACTGTTTAAACTATGGTCTGTTATAAGCGTTTTTACCGCTGGACATCTACGCAGAAGACGCAATCGAACTAGGTGTGAAAGATTTGTTCACCTTATTTGCGTTACTTCAACTGAATAGTTAGAATGCCCTTGTGCGGGAATGTTCAGCTGTGCCATAGCTCGTATGTACGCAACATCACTCACGAACTTGGCATACATATCGCTCGTACATCCACGCGTGTAGACCTTCGACATGTTTTTCACTCGGATGGTCATGTCACAACCGTACTGATGAGTGCTGCTCACAGACTCGGAGCTCAGCGCCATTACTAAATTTCGAAATACTATGAGACAAGCTCTCACTTACCGTATTCACAAACTGGCAAGAAACATGAGCAAATTTTCCTCAGATCAGCTTATTTCTCGTAACAGGCTATACCTGAAACGATTGGTTATTTGTTGTTTGTTACCTGTTTAAACAGTTGTTATTTACCCCCACCGAATAACTGCCGACCTCAGTTGCGGCTAAGAATCACCTCGGATAAACGTGTTGAAGTACCGCTCTTCAAACTTAGCAAGACTCATAGAACTTATGACTTGAAACGTGAAACTCTGCAAGAAAGGGAGGGTAACAAGAGACACACACTACGCTGTGCATGGTATGCTTCCTCCATCTGAAAGGGCAAGCTATCATCTAAGGTTACGTAAGGAAATCTCTGAAACTAAGCACAAAATCTCTTTAATAATCCTTGTTACGTCATTCATAATATGCCCATAGTGCTCAGTATTAAGTAGGACTAACAACAGAGATATTTTCTAGCATGAGACGCTACAGGTTTAGGTTTATCATTCGTGAATCTCTAAATATATTTCTTGAACAAGAAAGTGCTCTTCAACAACTACAGGCATTTTGACGACATTTACTCAACATCGAAGTTAAAATTTGAATTTCGTTTGATCACTTTTTAATTCTACTACAACTTTTCACAAGTTGTCAATGCCTGTACTTCACGGTTCTTCGCCAGTTTCATTAGATTTTGCTATTTGCTTAACATTTAGAAAGCAACCTTATAACCTTATATAATCTCTAATCTTGTATGTATGTATAATCTTGTAATGTAATCATGCAATGTATGTATGTATAATCTTGTAACAACCTTATAACCTTATAATCTTGTGACCTGTTTCTACGATTCATATTCATCGCTATGATGTTTAAAACAGAATCTGATTTTTGTACGAACAAGAAGGTAATGTCATCAGTGTGACGTCATATCATGAAGAACTTCTCAATTTTGCTTAAAATTGTTTAAAATATCTTAACATTCCATTTTGTATGTTACGTTAAAACTCACGGCTAAAGTAATACTTTGTTAGCTCGTAAGGAGAGTACTGTTTTGACAGTGCGATAAAATAAATTTTACTGGCATAGAGAATTTTCAACAGTATTAAGCATAACGAAATTTTTATCGACTTGTTAGTGTAATGAAATATGCCGTGTGAAGTCCAGGACATTCAAGGTACCTAACAGTTTTCGATGGCCTCCAGCTATCATCGCCCTCCTCTGAAACCACTGAAAAGAAACGGCTCATCCATATGAGCTGCAGGTGAGAGTGGAATGTTATTTGCGACGAATACCAACAGATATAATATCATTCCTTCAACGCAAATTAACAATTTACTTTAAAATTTGTCATACAACAGGCGCAAGAAAGAAGCAGAACCATGAAACAAATATAGCAATTAACGAGCCAAGTCAATTACGCAGTAGCATGACATCGCGTGGCGCTCAGGACATAGAAACGCACAGTAGAAAGAAAAGTCACTCGCTCTGAATCTAAATACCAGTAACGTCTCTGATCCAGTCTGTAACGAGTGCCACGTTCATAAAACCGCTGTCGCAGTAAGGCGATCCATAGATAGTCAATCCGCTAACATGATGCCTTTTGTCACTCTCAACACATGCCAGAGGCCCTCCGCTGTCACCCTAAACGGATCGCAAACAGTTAACTGAAGAAGTGAATGTGCGTAAACAAACAAAGATCAGCATTTTGGGCGAAATGTGATCATTAAAACACGATATGTAGAAGAACATGGATGCACAAATGAGGATTTTTCAAACTGAATCAGGTCCCATTGTAACGAAGCAATAAGACAAATTTGTTATCGTGGCTGAACATGCACAGGCATGACGGAACACATCTGGAATTAAAGTTTCACCTTGGCATCCATGAGCCTCTATTTTAGCACAAAGAAACGCGAACAACGCACAATTATTCTTAGACAGCAAATGCGAACCGGAAGCCTATCTTCAAAAACAGTTTTCATGGAAATGCTGCTTTACCGAGGTTCTTCTGCAGTATGAAGAACAAGTTGTTGTTCATAACTAATATTCAATGAAAAAGTCACACGAAGATGACGACGCCGAAAATGATAAGTCTGACGGACGTTTCGTACATTTCAGAGAAACAGCTTTCTTGCGATATATGAAATGAAAAACTAAATCAACTAATTAATACAGATTACAACCTGCAATGATAAACATTTCGACTAATGATCAAATGACTGCGCGCTGATTTGGGGACCTTGTGCAGACGCCATGATAAATAATAAAATAAAACATTAATCATGGACATGCACAATTTGAGAACGGCATCCCATTGTATACGAAGAGAGTATTGCACTGATAGGTAATATGATAACCGAAGTAAAACAATTGATATCGATTGCCAACTCCCAATGACGAAAATTCATAACCTTCAAAGGAGACCTATTGACATCGAACAGTCATCAAAATGGAATTGTGATAAAAAAA